GGGGTGGGGGCCGGGAGGACAGTAGATCGCCGCCCAGGGGTGGGGGCCGGGAGGACAGTAGATTCCCCCCCCTCATTGTCTTTATGGCCCCCACCCGTCGCCCGGGGGTGGGGAGTAGGTCCCCCCATCATTATCATTATGGCCCCCACCCGTCGCCCGGGAGTGGGCAGTAGGTCCCCCCCCTCATTATCATTATGGCCCCCACCCGCCGCCCAGGGGTGGGGCAGTAGGTGTCCCCCCCTCCCCCATTATCATTATGACCCCCCACCCACCGCGCAGGGGTGGGGGCCGGGGGGGACGACTTTAGGTCCCCTTATTTTACTTTAGGGCCCCCACCCGTCGTTTAGGGGTGGGGCCAATAGTTTTTTTTGTTTTTGTTTTTACAGTGAGCAGCCACAGGCTGTATAGCGAGTAGGGGCATATTATTTACTAATACTAAGTAACCTTTACTTAGTATTAGTAAATGTGGCTGAAAGACCAATTTAGGTCTTTCAGCCTTTTAGTAGATAGCTCCCTGATACCGTGAGAATTAGGGAGTTATCTACTAAGCGGCTGCAAGATGCAGCCACAGCAAGAATAGGATCGGAGTTTAATTCATTCGAATGAAATTCCGATCCGAATAAAGTGCCGAATTGCGTTCTAAAACAAACGAAGATACTGTTCTCATTCAGTTAGAACGCAATTCGGCAGTTTAGTGTAAAATGACAGGAAGCATCGCGCAATCACAGAGAAAAGCTAAGGATCATGGGAAAATTGCTCTGACCAGCAGAAATGAAGCAACCTTTGCTCCTCCGCTGGTCAAGCGGAGGAATCCTCCATAAGGCAAAGAGTCCCTACTTTGTTTTATGATTTTAAAGAAAACTAAAGAAGACAGGAAGAAAAGAAGAACAGATCCTGAGAGAGGGGGGGGAAGAGGAAGAGATTGAGGAAAGGTAAATTCGGCATGACAGTGCTGCTTTAAAGTCACCCATGATGATAACTTTCCCCTTTGTCATTTTAGCTAGTTCCTCAACTAGTAAATTATCTAACTCTATTTGTCCTGGGGGCCTTTAAATCACACCTACACGAGTTACTGTGTGATTACCAAATTCTAATGTAACCCAAACTGACTATATTCGCCACACTAACATTAGGCTAGATTTTATGCTATCCTTCACATCCACCCATCCCCCTTTCTTGCCTTCTGTCTTTTCTATATAAAGAATACCCTGGTATTGTTATGTTCCAGTCATTTTTCTCATTATACCATGTCTCAGTAACAGGGACTAAGTCTACATTATCAGTTGCCATTATTGCCACAAGCTCATGGATTTTATTCCCTAAACTGCGAGCCTTTGTAGACAGGACTAAGCTTATTTTTTAAGCCAAATCCTTGCTCCCAACACCATTTACCAAGCCACAACTTAAAGGACCACTCTAGGCACCCAGACCACTTCAGCTTAATGAAGTGGTCTGGGTGCCTGGTCCAGCTAGGGTTAACCCATTTTTTTTTTTTTTTTATAAACATAGCAGTTTCAGAGAAACTGCTATGTTTGTGAATGGGTTAAGCCTTCCCCCATTCCCTCTAGCGGCTGTCTCATTGACAGCCGCTAGAGGCGCTTGCGTGTTTCTCACTGTGATTTTCACAGTGAGAGCACGCCAGCGTCCATAGGAAAGCATTGATAATGCTTTCCTATGTGACCGGCTGAATGCGCGCGCAGCTCTTGCCACGCGTGCGCATTCATCCGACGGGGAGGAGAGAAGGAGGAGAGCTCCCCGCCCAGCGTTGGAAAAAGGTAAGTTTTTACCCCTTTCCCCCTTCCAGAGCCGGGCGGGAGGGGGTCCCCTCAGGGAACTATAGTGCCAGGAAAACGAGTATGTTTTCCTGGCACCATAGTGGTCCTTTAAAGTCCCTAGTACGCATCATTCTGAGTGTTATGCACAAGCAGAACTTCAGAGAATGACAGTGTGGAAGCAACCTGCCGTATATCATCGGCAAAAACAACTTCCTTTACCTCTGAAACCGATTTGCAAGCCATTAAAAATATGACATCTCACAAGACCACTATCGTCCAGCTCCACACCTCTTATGATAGAATCCCCCAACAACAACTGCTTTCTATCAGGCCTCACCTTGTCCTTTTTGTCATAGGTTGGTTTCACAAACTTGGTGCCTGAGCCTGTCTCCACAACACCACTACACTCGGTGCCTGCGCCTGTCTCCACAACACCACTACACTCGGTGCCAGCGCCTGTCTCCACAACACCACTACTCGGTGCCTGCGCCTGTCTCCACAACACCACTACTCGGTGCCTGCGCCTGTCTCCACAACACCACTACACTCGGTGCCTGCGCCTGTCTCCACAACACCACTACACTCGGTGCCTGCGCCTGTCTCCACAACACCACTACACTCGGTGCCTGCGCCTGTCTCCACAACAGGATGAAGTAAAACTTTTTATTGAGAAAAATTACACACTTTTATACCTGGTTACTCAACAGAAGGTCTCCAGGAGAACAATACATACCTGGCGCCTAGGTGTCTGTACCTGACCAGAAAATGTAATTAACTGCCAGACACCTTGGCGCTGATTAATAAATAAAAAAAAAAAAAAAGTTCCCACGCCCAATTCCCCAAACAAATGTTGTCCCTGGAAAGCCATCTTCTCAGCATCCACTCTGTCAAAAAAGATTTTTTTTGCCCATCCTCCGATCCGGCTTAGAGTTTCATATCGCAGGGTGGAAAACCCCTGATTTCTCTTTCAGTGGGTACATGGAGCTCCCTCATGTCCTGAGTACCGTTGGATGCCTCACCAACTCTTCTTCCACCCCTCCAAATTGCGTTCTTATAGATGACTGGAAGCACCCTTAACAAAAGTTTTGACAGACAGTTTCTATTCCACGATCCAATCAGGAGTTCCAGAGAAGTTGGAGGTCACACCCGATTAGGCGCGTTGTGCCTGTGCAACCTTTTGGGGCCACTGGGCTGGGAGGCACCGACTAGAGGAGCAATTGAAGTAAAGATCTCTTTTAGAGGGAGATGCTGGTTGGGAGTCATTTACCATTACTGGGTGACCTGGTGGTCTGTCACAAGCATCTCTGTTTCTCTAGCTATATACATACACCTTATTTTAGCAGCTGGATCAGACAATTACATGGTTAAAGGACCTCTCCACACTCAGGGGAACAGATTTAGTAGATATACCACCAATAAATAAATGCATGTATATTTTTATGTATGTATTCATTGGGCATATAGTCTAAAACAGCTTGCAAAAGCTGCAGTTCTTATGACTGCAGCCTTTGTAAGCCCTCCCCTTTTTCACAGGAAGTGACCTTCAGTCACTTTCCAGGGACTTGTCCAATCAGAAACTTCTCACAGAGAAGCCTCTGCTCCATTCTACTTCAGGTGTCTTCCCTCCCCCCAATCCTACCTTGTGTCTTAAACCCCTCCCCTGCTGACCTTTAGTTGCCGATCTGTGGGTAGAGGATCTTTAGTTTCCTCTACCCAGAGTGATAGGAACTGAGAACACTTTGTGTTAGTCTCGGTATAGGAAACTAGATATCCTCTACCCACATATCGGCAACTACAAGTTTAGCAGGGGAGGAAGGAGGCTCTGACACAGGGATGGAGACGGGACAGATGTTGCAAGAACTGACAGGCAGGAGAGGAGTGCTACCTGTCCTGCCTGTCACCTGGGCAGTTCTTACAGCCAATATTGTAAGGCAGGCACGCTCTACTAGAACGTGTTCTGCTACTTCTGTTAGCTCAGTGTAGCTAAAGGAAGTGAATATCCTCAGCTGTTTGACAGCTGGGAAGGCACTTCTATTTACAGATATAAAAGTGCTAATTTCACAATGAAAAATTGGCACTTGATAAATGGGGATTCTAAAGGGATACTCCACATCGACGTAGCTATTCAGCAAGCTAAATGCTCTATGGGTGTGGAGTGCTCCTTTAAACAGTTAAAAGGGACTCTCCAGTGCCAGGAAAACAGTCCCCTCTCCCTCCCACCCCCCATCCCAAGTTGCTGAAGGGGTTAAAACCCCTTCAGTGACTTATCTGTATCCAGCGCCGATGTCCCTCAACGCTTGTTCAGGGTCCACCCATGCTCCTCCCCCGCCAAGGGAGACCTATTGTGCATGCGTGGCCGCCGGGGGGAGACCTAATGCGCACGCGCAGCAATGCTGTGCACGCACATTAGACCTCCCCATAGGAAAGCATTGAAAAATGCTTTCAAAGCTTTCCTATGGGGATTTCAACGATGCGGACGTACAGTGACGCTATAGCACACGAAATGTGTGCTATAAACCCGCAGGTGCCCTCTAGTGGCTGTCTAGTAGACAACCACTAGAGGAGGAGCTAACCCTGCAAGGTAAATATTGTATTTTATGAAAACTGCAATATTTACTGTTGCAGGGTTAAGGGTAGTGGGAGTTGGCACCCAGACCACTCCAATGGGCAGCAGTGGTCTGGGTGCCTGGAGTGTCCCTTTGACAGTGTAACGGTGTAATAGTCGAAGCTAAGATGGTGCCTGTTCGACACTGCTACCAAAACAACTGAGCTGAACCTATTATTGGAGTATGAATGTTCCCTTGAGAACAATTGAATACTTATAGGGTTATTCACTAAAGTAAGAATGCAAAGTGAATTTCAAATTCAAAATAGCTGAAGTGGAAAAATTCTCTGTCAGCTATGCTTTCAGTTCAGCTACTGAAAGAAAAAAAAAAAAAAAGGACAATAAAATAAAGCCTATGCTGTTCGATGGGACACTATTTACTGATTGACACCCTGAGCTAAGGCAACATGTCCCTGCTTGGTAGAATAACCCAGTATAATGAACTTCATCTTACCAGCTCATACTAGACCCTGACAGAGAAAGGAGTCACACCGTGCACAGAACAGCTCTCTAGTAATGGAGCAGTGACTGACTGTCTGTCTGTCCTCACAGGTAGTGTTCTCGCTGTAATACAGTCTCCCGGTGTGATCTATACCCGACCCACCCCTGGCAACCCCCGTCGCCGCCGCTACCGCTACCGCAACTAAGCTCGCTCCACATTCAAATCTCAACGACTAGCGCGCGCTGCGCTCCTTCTCCACGCTGCACGAGAGCGCGCACGCAACGTGCGCCAGGCCCAAGCCAGCGGGAGAGGATTGCCGAGCCACGGCCTGAGCGGTGAGATGGCGGGCAGTGTGTAACGCGGGGTACGCAGCGCACTCTCACTCCGTTACACGGCTGGAGGAGAACCTTTAACGCTATGAGAGGGGAGGGGGAGGGAGTTACCGCACGTTGTGCGTTGATAGAAAGCGGGGAGCGGGTTGCTAGGCGGTATTTACTGACTAGGGCTGTGTGCGCTGGGCATTATGGGATATGTAGTGCAGGGTAGCTGGTGTGCTCACGGTCCGAGGTGGGGGTTGCATTGCATAATACTGTGTGTGTGTGTGTGTGTGTGTGTGTGTGTGTGTGTGTGTGTGTCAGTCTCTGTCCTACATACCCCGTGATTGCAGTCACTATTAATATCAGAAGGAATGAGACACTGGTTATCCTCAGTATTGATGATTGGAGAATGAGCATTTAATTAAAGGACTACTGTGTTGTGATTAGGATTGATGTATCAGTAAGTCAGTATTATAAGGTTCAGGCCTCGCTGCTTTGTGGTGACGGTAGAAGTGTATCAATAAAGGAATAAATTATGTTAGCGAATGTCCAAAAATTAACACTACAGAAAAAAAAGAGCAACAATAAATTTCAATGTTCTGTTTGCTATTTTGTATCCGTCTTCTATGAGTCTAAAACAAGTTATAAGCATGCGTGTAATATGCATAAGGCTATCCTAACTATAAGATAAGGCCAGGAACTAATGAAAGTATTTTTAAAAGTATTTAAAACATTGGGCAGACTAGATGGGCTGAATGGTTCTTTAGTGCCTTCACATTCTATGTTTTGTTCCTAAAAAGGCAAACATTGCTGTTTGTGCTTGACTGGATCCATTACTACATAATACACTGCATAATTCAGCTGTCTGCTGTTAAAGGGACACTATACTGTAGTCACCAGAAGAACTATAGCTTGTTGCATTTGTTCTGGTGAGTAGAATCATTCCAGGCTTTTTGCAGTAAACACTGTCTTTTCAGAGAAAATGCAGTGTTTACATTACAGCTTAGTGATAAATCAGTTGGCTACTCCTCAGATGGCTGCTACATGTGCTTCCTGGGGCACTGTTGCACAATGAGCAGTACAGCCATTCAGTGTCTCCACCCTTTGCATGCAGACACTGAACTTTCCTAATATAGATGCATAGATTCAATTCATCTCCATGAAGAGATGCTGATTGGCCAAGGCTATGCTTGACTTGTGCTGGCTCTGCCTGTGATCTGCCTCTTTGACAGTATCAGCCAATCCTATGTGAAAGCATTGTGATTGACTCAGACCACCACTTCTGATGATGTCAGCAGTCAGGTCAGAGGCAGCAGCTGCAGTCTTAAATACAAGTAAGATTGTATTAAACTTAGGGAGGCAAGAGTGTGGTGGTGGGGAGAGGCCTAGATGGTGGTTTTAACACTATATGGTCAGGAATATACCTTATAGTGTTCATTTGAAGAATGAGGAAAACCTATTTTAATGTTATGTTTGGGTGAATGAGCTACTGAACAAGGTACTGTTAGTCCATGCATACATGCCCATGATGTCAAAAATTACAGGGAAGTAAAAGCCCTGTAGCATATTGCCACTGGAGTCAGCATAATGAAATAGAGTTGTTATTCTGCCAATCCTTTCACAGCAAGGGCGGAATACAGAAATGTCTATAGACTGGTGTTTCACCAGTATAACATCCACAGAGCTGTGGTGCTAGAGCAATAACTCAAAATTTTCTGTTAAATTAAACTTAATTTTTATTTATGTGAACAAGTATATGTTCATAACCTTTGGGATTCAGTCAAAGGGGCCTGTATCACTTGACATCAATTTTTTTTTTTTAAACCAGCAAACAAACCAAAATAAAGCAAGAGAAACTTTGCAAAGTATGTAATAAATGTTTAAAATATACTATAATCTTTGTCAGATTGCATTATTGGAGATGCCTCTCAGCTGGGGAAGTTTCTTAAGCTACCTTCCCTTACCAATCCATCTCAATTTCAGACCAATCCATTAATGATAGAAACAGAGCATCATTATGCAGCAACAGGAGAGAGAAACCCAACACTTGAGCCTGCAGATGTCTACATCTGCCCATCATGCCTACGCACGTTTTCAGCATTTTTAGGGATAGGACACTGATTGGTTAGATCAGTTTCCCAGATATAGTGGATGTGGAAAGCATACGAAAGAAGTAGGTAAATGTGAAAAAAAATCAAATTTACCTGCTTTTTTTAAGCCTGTAGAGTGAGGAAACTGTCTCATTCACAGCTAATGCTTTTTAAGTGAACCTGTCATTGCTTTAAATATTATTAAGCAACTACTTCCTACCTTATGCCGCAGAACTATCTCATTTAGAACGCCATGCTGGTTTCATTGTATCAGAGTTATTTAGTTAATCTGTTCCTATATTCCAAATCAAGTGCAATGAAATCATAGTAGATACAGATCACACAGAGCGTGAAATTTAGTTGTTTTGTGGGAGAACCATGTAGACATGTCCTTTTGTCTCAAAACTCAGTTCAGTGCATGAAGGACTCTGGCGCGAATGGTTTAGCAAATGAGGTGAAGGACCATAATGGTAAATTGTTAAAAATGTATAGTTTTGTCAACATTTTTCCTCGCACAATGCTAGGACTTTTGTTTCTTTCTTAGAGCGTACCTTAACATACTCATGACAGTTACACTTTTATTTGAAGTGTTTGCTTAGATATAGAGCACAGCTGGAATCTATGAGACAATGGAAGAAGAAAAAAATAAGATACAGTAAAATTCAGAGTTAATTTTATTATTATAAATAATTCCCATAAACACAAATGGTTCTTGCAATTAACATGATACACGTACTAGTGGTGACCAAAAGGTAGATCCCCAGATGTTGCAGAAATACACTCCCATGATGCTTTACATTCTATTAGAATGCCTTTAGATTGACAAGCATTATGGAAGCTGTAGTTTTAAAACATCTGGGGATCTACCTTTTGGGCACCCCTGTTTTAGACTGTTATATGAGAATATAGGTATATTACAATGTTTATACCTATTAACTTTCCATCTGGTGGTCCAGGATTCACGTATACATGTCAAATCAATTCTTCCATATCTTTAATCGTATAAAATCACAAAAAGAACACAACATAGTATAAAACCAACAACACCAATAAAATAGGAACGATAATTGCACTCAAAAACGTGGTACCATGAAAAGAGGTCAGTAGGGCATAACACAGGGAAGTAAAAGCCCTGTAGAATATCGCAGGTATGTCTCTGGAAACGGTTTCAGACGTACCTGCAATATGCTATAGGGCGTATACTATGTTGCATTCTTTTTATGATTTTAAGTGATTTAAAGATATGGGAGAATTGATTTGACATGTATACGTGAATCATGGACCACCAGATGGAAAGTTAATAGGTATAAACATTGTAATATACCTATTTTCTCATTTCACCTTGACTGCACCACACCATTTCTTTCTTTGTTTTTATATATATCAGGGTTTTCGGAGTTTACCGGGGTATTGGTGTTCAGGGTGAACACTATTATTGTTTATATCTTTTAGACGGTTATATGTCTGTAGGAAAAATAGCTAGTTTGTATCTCAGTGGCAAATAACAGGCTAGGGTGTCTTTGTGCAAAACATTTGTGTGCGCATTATATATTAGCCAGTTAAGGACCAAATTTAGTCTTTTTTACCATCATCACAGTCTGGTCACTAAATAACCTGGAGCAGTATGAAATGCCCTATCTATTCAAGCGTCACTGACACCCCTTTTCAAATTGAATGTAGACCACTTGCCAAGTGTAACCAACCCCTCTGTCTCAAATACCACGTATGAACAGCAGCCATGATTCCCACATATTGGGTGAGATCTAAGCCAGGATAACAGTATTCTAAACACATTTCTGCAGCAAAAGGATGATGAAGCTAATTTTCATTTGAATAGCTTCGTCAATAAGTAAAGCTGTTGTATCTGTGGTACAGAAAATCCACTGACTCAGTAATTTTCCTACGTCTGACACACTGGTACCGCTGTCTGGAAGTGTCACTGGGAATTGGCCCCGTCTATGGAGCATCCTGCGGATCCTACATAGACTTTCATGTTGTTTTCTTGCGTGAGAGTATAACAGTGATGTCGACTCCTGGCTCTGAAGCACCAAGAGCAGAAGAGGACCATCTGAATGATGCAGGGGGCAGGTTCACGAAAGTTAAAGTCACCTTTGCCTGCCACCACTGTGTGACAAAGTCTCCTTCTGGGATGTTGGCTTATTTTGCAAAGACCCTCGATGATGACAGTGCTCCTGATATTTCATCCACCAGAAGCCCCCATCAAAATGTTGTATTCTCGCACATGAGCAACAGTGCAACACTGCTGTTTTTAGAGGATCCCACAAGAGTCTCCATAGAAATTCTCACGACGACTGTGGAAAATTGTAAAATGTGACAGCAGCAGCTATTTGTCAAGGTAGTAGTTGTTACTACTTTGTCTTTGACTTTATTGGAATTACAATGACATTCCAATACAGTCTTTATACATAAAGATTTTATCTTTTTGAAATGCTCAAAATATTTGGAGCTGCTTAACCCCTTAAGGACCAAACTTCTGGAATAAAAGGGAATCATGACTTGTCACACATGTCGTGTGTCCTTAAGGGGTTAAAAGTAACACATCTTGTATAGACCAAAATTGGTCTTTAATTAAGGGTTTCCATTTATGACTATACTGTCCCTGTGCAAAAGGATGAGTTGCCCTTTCTCCTGTATACCAGTTCATCCACTCACCTGCTTTATGACAAATTGGAAAACAGTCTGAGAGTCAGACATATTTAGGAGCTAAATTGATCTTCAGACAAGCCAGTCTAGGAATTTTGGTATCAATTTAATATTGTTGGATATACTTTTTTATAAGCTTTTTGAGATTCAGATTTTTGGATGAACTTTCAAAATTAAGAAAAACATTAAAATTTTTTAATTGTTTTATAGTTTTTTGATATAATTTTTATATTTAAAATATTTTTGCACACAAAAAAAAACATTTTAAAAGTTTATCCAAAAATATTACACCGTTTAAAAAGCTTATCCCAAAATATTAAAATTGTTTGAATTCTGTAAAATAAAATTAGACAGAATATTTCAAATGTTAAGAGTGAATGTTTGTGCCTTGTATACCTCTGTAAAATCAGTGTATTATTTTGTAAATATTATAGTTTCTCTTTTTTTTATTTTATAAATTAGGTTTTGAAGTTTTGCGGCCCTTGGGCCGTTCCCTTCAGAAGTGATCATAATGTCACACAGAGGAGGTGATCGAGACTTGCAGTCTTCAGCTCGCAGGATGGGTACCTCCCTGCTGTTCCAGCTGTCTGTGCATGAACGAGAGCTGGATCTAGTATTCCTGGATCACAGCTATGCTAAGCCTTGGAGTGCTCACCCAGATGCTAGCAATGCCCGTCCAACACGCACCCTCTTTATCACACCTCGGAGGCAGCAGGAAAGTACATTGTAAGTCCAATGCTTCCTTAATCTTCTATATCAAAACAGCAGAATGTAGTACTGTTGAATCTCTGTATTGCTTCTCTATCCCACAAATATAAAAACACAGATAACTTGGTAAACTCATATGTGGTAAAGTTTAAAGTTTCCTCTCTGACTGCCTAGCTGATTCCTCATAGACTGGTCATGAAAGGTGGTTTACTTGCTGTTATTAAATGCAGCAAGTAAATGTGATTCCTATGTACCTTTCCCATAAGTCCTGCATAGCAATATTCAGAGTATAAATGACAATTAAATGCTAGTTTAAACGTCATCATTGCACCGTTTGCATTTTATCTTTTTTTTTTTATGGAATTATGATAGAGCTGTTAATGTATATGATGGAAACTTGTCCATATTTTTTATAAGGTCATATTAAAGGGACACTGTAGGCACCCAGACCACTTCAGCTAACTTAAGTAGTCTGGGTGCTGTGACCCTTTTACATTGCAGCTCTAAGTCTGCTCTCTGTGGCTGTCTACCAGACAGCCACTAGAGGGCTTCTGGAATCCAAACAGACTTCTAGTCTGTTATCTGATGCTGGACTTCCCCACGCTCTGCATGAAGACCTCAAGCAACAGATTTTCCCCATAGGAAAGCATTTTTCATTGAATAATGCTTTCCTATGGAGAGGTCTAATGCACGTGCGGCCGTTGCCATGTATGCGCATTAGGTCTCCCCGATATCGGCAGAGGAGTGTGGGCGGAGCTTGACCCAGAGGGTCATCGGTGCTGGATTCATGTAAGGGGAGGGGAGGAACTATAAACCCTATAGGGCCAGGAAAACGGTTTTGTTTTTCTGGCACTATAGGATCCCTTTAACCCCTTAAGGACACATGGCATGTGTGACGTCATGATTCCCTTTTATTCCAGAAGTTTGGTCCTTAAGGGGTTAAGCAACATAAAACAACTTAGTGTAGTAGTTATGTTGTGGCTTTTATATTTGTCTAAAAGTGTTTGCTTGATGGCTTAAAAAAATAATTGTCAAGTGATGCATGTCCCTTTAAAGCCTTCATTGAAAGTTGTCTGATCCTGACAGTGGATTTGAACACTACATCAACAGGGGAGTCCTCCTCTCAATATTACCCTAATGATAATTAAAGGGAAACCCCAGACCTCTAAAGCATTTTAGCTTGCTGAAATGCTTTGTGTAAAGAGTGCCCTCCTTTTTTTTTTTTGCATCAGTACATTTTTTTATGGAAATTTATACTTTTACAAATTTACCTGGTTCCACCCCCTGGCTTTGAAGCAGAGAACAGTCAATGTTACTTCCAGGTTGGGTTGCCCAGAGCACTTGCAAAGACTTCTCATTGAGCTGCATTGTAAAGTCTGTGATTGGAAAGCCACAGAAAGTCTGGGCAGGATAAGAAGGGGAGGGATTAAAAAAGCTTCAGACAAGAGAAATACAGGTTTTGCAAGCTGTTTTTAGATATCCCCCTATGAAAAAATGCATATTTAAATGCATGCAAATTTTAATTTAGGGTACATCTATTAAACAGGGATTTTTATTTATTTTGTATTTGGCAAGTTGAATGTCTATTAAAATTACTCCAATCTTACCAACTGACCTATTAATGGAGTGAGATATGTTTGGACATACAAAACTATACTTTTTTTTTTTACTTTGAACTCCGACTTGATTTTTTTTTTTTTATTAAAGTAATTTTTATTCTCATACATGTGGCAAAATACATGGTACAGTTTGGATATTCTTATGGTATAATGTCATTGGTACAGTTAAGAACATTCCATGCATTGGTGGTTACAACATTACAGCATTTAAACATTGTTTGTCACATTGTGTCTATATTACCATATGTATATAAGGCACTCATGGCCTTCTGATATAGTTCTCACATGCTGTGACGTTTTCTTATATCAACATCTAACAAACTCAACAATAGGGATGGGGGGTTACTAAAGGATAAAGAGGGGGTTTGGAACGGGTGGGAAGGCGAGCCGTGCCACGGGGGGGGAGGGGGTCTATTATTTCTTCCTTGTGTTACACTTTCCCCTCGTATACTGCCAGTGTAAATGGGGCATTCTTTTCTATATCGTTTGTCGGCAGCTAATTTTGATGTTGGCATAAATTTGGCTTATGCTATCTAGAGCTGGTTTGAGATATTTACCGGGTGATGTTCGGAGTGTTATTCTGTGGTACTATTGTCGGTATCTTATGTTATTGTTGTTTTTTACCTTTGTACGATATGCTAGATACATTTTGCATAATACATTGTGTTTTTTTGGGGGGGTTTTTTGACTTTATTTATTTTAAGATGTACTGTTTTATCTCTCTTATTATTTGACTTGAGCAGAAAATTGAATTGGTCAGACTATACCTTTTTTGGCAATGACTTTCTCCTCTACCTAAACAAACTCAGGGCAACTGACTGGAGACTCTGTGAAAATTCCACCTAAACAAACTCAGGGCAACTGACTAGAGACTCTGTAAATCCCTTCTGTAAGGTCCATTATTTTTGCAGTAAGCCACCATGAGAATGACATCATACATCACGGAGAATAATTATCCTGAGGTCTCAACCTTTTTGATTTGGGAAGCACACAAATGCATCTTGAAAGACTCGGTGCTGATGAGACCTTATGATGGCCAAGTCCAGAGGTTTATGGACACGATATAACTTTGTATCCACACACTCATCTAACTGTGACCCACCACTACCGAAAGAGTTGACAGTCGAGGTGTGTGCTCCCTCAACTACGTAATCTTTTGTGTCACAGAGCACTCAAGAGCACTAGAACTTCCATATAACTGGAGATAAATATTGGAGGTTACTAGCACATATGATCTATAAAAAGCTAACCTTGACATATATTGCAATACTTCCCAGATAAGTATACAATTCTACTCTGATGTCTAATCACAGTCAATCTACCATTTCTCTCCAGTCACTGCAACTGGATGTATTAACAGATATCTAAAAACTTACTTGACTTTACTTTACATCTGACGCAGCCAATCTTTTTAAGAAAAAAACCATGAGATTAAGAATGTAGTGTTGTGGTTATGGTTCCTGGAGTGTTCATTTAACCATATTATAGACTTTCGTTCGTGACCTCCGTTTCTCATAAACCTTCTTTTAGAATATGTCACTTATTTTATGATTGAATGTGATATGGCAAGACTTCGTTTCGTTTAAAATGCTTCAATTAAATATTATTTCAAAATAAAATTAAAATGCTGTTATTGTGTTTACTCTGTTTCAAAATTTTTCAGAGAAACAGATGTGCCTATCGATGTTGAGACCATCAACCCCACTCCTATGCCATTATATGACAATCAGAAGGCACGAAGTGTGATGAACGAATGTGAGCGTCATGTAATCTTTGTGAGGACAGACACAGAAGCACCTCCACCGCCCGATGACTGGGAAGACCATGTCAACAGGTGAGTGCGCTATACAGGTGATGAAATGCCAAGCAAGCTAGGTTTCTAGTTAGATGTTGTGTCACTAATGAGAAGTGTAAATATATCTAAGGTGACTACCTTAGAAAAACACACAAATGTGGTATATTAATTATTTGTTTTTACAATATTTTATTAAAGGGATGCATGACCTTGTTCAACATATTTTTAAGGGTTCTATAAAAACAGTAGAAGAACAGGCAGGGAAAGGAATAGGACAGAGATGAGAAACAACCAAAGCTGAGGCATATTCAAAATGTAGAATCCGGGGAATCCAAGTATTGAGAACATGTTCATGTGAATCTTATTGCTCTTCATCACTTTAATGTGCTAGACTTTTTTTGCATGGTTGGTAGACCTAAGAGGTACCTTGCCAGGGTTGAGCAAGTCTCTCTTTCTAGCTGAGGTACAAATACTGGGGATATAACATGTTTGGAATTGGGATGCCTTTGACGGTGCACTGTAAGCTTGGGGTCATTTAAAATATCTGTGTGTAAGAAGTACTGAATGATCAGAAAATCTCCATCCACAATGTTTTTATAAATTGGTGACATTTCTGTTGCATTTTATATTCCAAGATAATTGAGCATACACATGCAAACACCAATTAAGGATGTTTTGCCCATACTTTTTTTTTTTTTCTTTTTTTTTTTAAGTAACTATTAGTTATGTTATTAGATTTACACAAAAGCTGTACAGGACCATCCTGGCATCAGATACAGATTACTACTAAATATGTTTAGATGTTTTTGCTTGATTGTGTTATGTAAGCATTAGAGCATTACAAAAAGAAAATGCCTGTGGTTCGTGTGGGAGTTATGAGAAAATGGCAGTTATTAGTCAGTAATGCAGGAAAACTGACATTTTTTTAAAAAGAAATTGATGCTTTTTAGCAAATAAAACCATTGCCTCTCCTTCTCCCTGTCTTTCAACTACCATATTCATCTACTTTACAACTTTAAAGGTATGTCCAGCTCCATTGCCTCACTTTTTTATTGTGTGTGTTTAGTAACGATTCTGACAGCATTGGCAAAATGTCTGTTTTATTCACTCTTTTAGCCCGAGTTTGTGATATTAGTAAAAGCATAGTAGTGGAGGCTTAAAGTTACACTCTAGACTCCAAAAGCACTTAGGTTTGCTGAAAATCTTTGTGTGAAGAGTGGCACATTTATAAATTAACCTTGTTGCATTCCCTGGATGTCAATCAGACATCCGGTTTTGTTAAAGGACCACTATAGGCACCCAGACCACTTCAGCCTAATGAAGTGGTCTGGGTGCCAGGAACAGCTAGGGTTAACCCTTTTTTTTTTTATAAACATAGCAGTTTCAGAGAAACTGCTATGTTTATAAATGGGTTAATCCAGCCTCTAGTGGCTGTCTCTTGACAGCCGCTAGAGGCGCTTGCGTGCTTCTCACTGTGAAAATCACAGTGAGAAGATGCCAGCGTTCATAGCAAAGCATTATAAATGCTTTCCTATGAGACTGGCTGAATGCACACAGCTCCTGCCGCGCATGCGCATTCAGCCGAAGAGTAGGAGGAGAGCTCCCCGCCCGGCCCTGGAGAAAGAGGTAAGTTTAACCCCTTCCTCCCCCCTCAGCGCCACGGGAGTGGGACCCTGAGGGCGGGGGCACTATAGTGCCAGGAAAACAAGTATGTTTTCCTGGCACTATAGTGGTCCTTTAATTCTTGGTTTGTTTAGCTCAGTATAGCTAGACTCAAAAGGCAGAGCACCTGCCTTGCAAAGATTTCTTATTCAGCTGCATTGGGAAGTCTGTGATTGGACAACCACAGAAAGTCTTTATTGGGGAAAAAAAGAGGAGGGCTTGCAAAGGCTGCAGACAATGTGGGCATTTGCAATTTGTTTTTAGATATTCCCCAATGGAAAAAAAAAAATCAGTTAAGATTTCATAAGCTTTGGTCACAATAATTACGATTCGATATTATTCAGCATTAATAGGAATGGAAGTAAGTTATTTATACACGAGTGGTAGTACAACTTCATAGTATGGGTCTATTCACTTATGATGTAACTGTGGTTATTATGTGGGTTTTAAAGGGGTAAAGGAGGTGAAGCGATTTGGTATTAGTAAGATAATATATAAGAGGTAAAGCCGTTTTAGATCACAATAGACAGGGGGAGTCGGACCATGTGTGTGTGTATATATATATATATATATATATATATATATCTATCAAGGAAATATGTAGATAGAATGGCTAAGGGAGGGGAAAGGAGAGGGAGGACTTGTACTATCATATTTAAGAGCTGGAGAGATATGTTGAACAGAACTAGAATAGCAATTTATTGTAATATGGTTTTTTTAAACCAACACAATCCAATATCCTAGACAAACTAACTGATCTATTGAAGGCTATAGTGTTAAATAAAGGTCGGATATTTGGAATACTGTTTGGTCTCTGATGAGGTCTGGAGAATTTTTTTTCTTTTCATTTATTTCTGCAATTATAGGTAGGTCCGGTTCAGGTAGATATAAGTACACAGGTCTCCTTATTTTGCTTCTTTCCTGGGATACGTTCCATATTTCATATTATATCTTGGAATTATAATGACTGAGGGAAGGGAGAGGAGAGGGAGATTAGTACTATTATAATGGATAGCTGCAAAATACATCAAGTAGTGTCAGATTAGTAATTTATTGGGTTATGGCTTTAGGAGCTAGTGTGGTCATATATTCTAGTCAAAGTTGACAGCATTGTGGATTGCCATTTGACCGATTTTGGGCTAGATATTTGGAATGCCATTTGGTTTCTGAAGAGTTTGGAGGCCTTCCTCCTCTCGCTAGGGTCTCTATTCCTGCAATTATAGGCAGGTCTTGTTCAGGGGGCTTCATATATATATATATATATATGTATGTGTGTGTGTGTGTGTATGTATGTATATATATATATATGTGTATACGTCTCCCCACTGGATTACCAAGAGGCGGTTTGTTCCCCCTCTTGAATTATTTTTTGTTTTATGTACTTTATAATGTAAATGTGTATTCTTTTTTTTGTTTCTGTTTTTTCTTTTTTACTTTTCTGAGACTCGATTTGGGGTGTAATCAGGACAATAGGTGTTATGATGGCACTTAATGTGATATCATGGAATGTCCAGGGTTTGAATTCACCACAGAAAAGGGGAGCGGTCTATAAATTTCTAAATGGAAATGATATTGATATTGCTTTTATTCAGGAGACACACTGGATTAATCCCCCAGAGAGACTCTGGAAGTTTAAGAAATTCCCGTTGATATTTTCTTCTAATATGGAGGGGAATAAAAAAAAAGGCACTGCTATCATAATCTCTAGCAGAATTAATTTTGAAATGATACATCTAACTGGGGATCCAATGGGAAGATATGTGATACTCATCGCAAAAATTAATGGTATTATATATACTTTGGTTAATATTTATGCACCAAATTCGTGCCCAGTGGACTTTTTGGATAAAACTATGGAAAAGGTTGATGAATTAGCATGTGGTAACATCATAATTGGGGGAGACTTTAATTGTGTATTGGACCCAGCACGGGATAAAAGCCATAAAAATGTTAGAGATTATAAATCTGTAAATACCTATGTTTCTGATTTTTCTAAATTTCTAGATAGGAATTCTCTGTTTGACTGTTGGAGGACTTTTAATCCTAGTGAGAGAGATTACACTTTTTTTTCACATGTCCATCAGACCTATTCTCGAATAGATATGTTTTTGGTGAAAGCTGGGTTTTTAAGTTCTATTATTAAATCCAATATTGGATCCATAGTTGTATCAGATCATGCACCAGTATTCATTAAGGTTAAGTTAAAAGGTGGTCTTAGACCAAGGACAAGGTGGAGACTTAACGAAAGCCTCTTGAAATCAGAGTGCAACATTGATTTTTTGTCATCTGAAATTGAAAACCTTTTGATTACCAATGATAATGGGGAAGTTTCTACGGTAATGGTATGATGTACCCTTCAAAGCTATATAAGGGGATTATTGATTAAACTTGGCTCTGAATCTAAAAGGAAGAAGGGAGAATCTCTGCAAGAGTTAAGAATAAAATTGGCAAATAAGGAACGTCTAAATAAAAATATGGTGAACAAAAGACTTAATTGAAGAAATAGCTAAATTAAGGGAAACTGTCAAAGATATAATTTATGATATGGTCAATAAAAATATACTATTCCTTAAACAACGATGGTACCATAACAATAACAAAATAAATAAAGACCTTTCTAATAAAATTAAAAATAACCTCAAAGATAAATCTATAAAAAAAATTGTCTTAGGTGATAAACATTTAGTGTCACCAAATGATATTGTAAATGCATTTGCGGAATTTTACAAATCCTTATATATCCTACAGGAGGTAGGGAAGAGTAGAGAAGAAATGGATACATTTTTGAGTAACCTTAAATTACCAAAAATTAACCAAAGGAAGTTGGAAATGCTGAATGCCCCATTCTTATTATCAGAAGTAACAGAAGCAATAGATAAGTTAAAATTGAATAAGGCTCCAGGCCCAGATGGCTTTTCAACAATGTTCTATAAAACTTTTTCTAGACTCATTTCCCCTATCCTTTTAGAGATGTTTACGAAGGCGTCCACTGATACCCCCTTCCCTAATGAGATGTTATTGGCTTCAATCATTCCTAAACCCAAAGTAGGGAAAGCCCCAACACTTATTACTAACTATAGACCTATATCTCTCATTAATTTAGATATAAAGATATTCTCTCAAATATTGTCCAATCGACTTAAAGAGGTAATTGGAGAACTGATTGACGTTGATCAGTCTGGATTTGTGCGAGGGAGAGGTACTACAGATAATACACGTAGGATATTTAACTTAATATATAGAATAAATGAGCATAAATGGGGATCTGTTATTATGGCCCTCGATGCTGAGAAGGCCTTTGACAGAGTCAGTTGGAGATTCCTGGACTCTGTCATGGGCCAATTTGGCTTAGAAGGTCAGTTTAGACATAAAACTATGTTGTTATATAGGAGTTCTACAGCTAAAATAATTAACCCTTTTGTTGAGTCTGACCATTTTGAGGTCAAAAATGGTACTAGACAGGGTTGCCCTTTGGCTCCCCTGTTATATATTCTTACAATTGAACCTTTGGCCACCTTGATCAGACAGGATACCAATGTAAAGGGGGTCAAGTTTCTCAATGGGGAAACCAAGGTTTCCCTTTTCGCAGACGATGTCCTCCTTATCCTGACGGATCTGATGGTTTCAATTCCATCAGTATTGGATGCTATATCCATCTATAGTATCTCCAACTATAAGGTCAATATGAAAAAAAAAACAAATTTTTGCCTCTTTTTTTTACCTGAGGCTCAGAAAAATCTTCTGACTGCACATTTCCAACTCTTATGGGCAAAAGATACTATTGGCTATTTGGGGATTAAAATATCCTTTGATATAGAGAGGATGATACAAACAAACTATGATAAATTATTAAGAGATCTACAACAACTGGTAGACAAATGAAGGAAGATTGAGTCCTCATGGATAGGAAGATTAAATATGATCAAGGCATTTCTGATACTATCTTAGGGCGATTCCTTATAGACTGGGGAAAGGTATTCTTAACAGTTTTCAAACTCTGATTTCCAAATGTATTTGGATGGGTTTTTTTTTCTGTTTGCTTGTTTAATTTTTGTTGTGTTTTTAACATTTATCTCTGTGTCTGGTTGTCTTAATGCGCTGGAGGATTGCCTTTGGGGTACCTCACATGAATATGTTAAAACTTTCATATAATAAAAATAAAGAAATATAAAAAAAAAAAGATTTCATAAGTTGTGTGTGCCATGTAATTGTACTCTTTAATACAATGCGTACCAATAATGCCACTTCAATGCCAGACACCAACATCTCTTATCTTCAGGTGTGGATAGAGTTCTTGCCAGAACAAATGACAGTTTAATTCCAGTTTGTGATAACTCGTTCTTCCAGGTCTGGATGGAGTCCTTCTCAGAACAAACTTTTCAACAAGATCCTGAAAGCTCTTCAATGTGATCGGCTTGCTCGACTTGCTAATGATGGGGTGAGTTTTTACATTTTAATAAAAATAACTAGTTAGTAGGTAAAACATATTCTTTTGTGTCATGCTTGGTTGACCAATTAATATTTGCTGTGGGGTTTTTTTGTTTTGTTTTTTAATTAATTTATTTATTTTACAAATAACTGCAGTTTTAAGTCTCCGAGCAGGGACAATGGTTACAGATTAGCCTCTGCATCATAATATTTGCAGTGATGTAATTGTGGATGGACTAATCCTTTAAATGGACATTGTAGGCACCAAAACAACTTTAGCTTAATAAAGCAGTTTTGGTTTATAGATCATTCTCACTGCTTAATTCTCTGCCATTTAGAAGTCACTTTGTTTATATAATTCTAGTCACACGTCCATGCAAGTGACTCGCACATCCTTCCTAAACACTTCCTGAAAATTAACGTAGATATTCTAGGTTCCTGTATTGCACATTCTGTTTAATCTAGAATTTCTTAACTCCTGCTTTCGTAATGGCCTCCTAAGCCCTTCAGGATACTCCTGTGTGTGATTAAAGTTCAATTTACAGAGCAGGAGATAAAAACTTAAAGGGACTCTATAGTCACCAGCTGCATTAACAGAGTGATATAACTCCTAAATGGCAGAGAATCGAGCAGTGAGACTGCAGGGGCATGATTTATACAACCAAACTGCTTCACTAAGCTAAAGTTGTTTTGGTGACTGTAGTGTCCCTTTAAATTAACATCTAATTGAAAATCAAACTATTTTTTTCATGCTGTCTGAGTCACAGCCAGGGGAGGTGTGGTTCGGGCTGCATACACAGAAACAAAAGTGATTTAACTCTTAAATGGTAGACAGTTGATCAGTGAGACTGCAGGGGTATATAATATATACACTACAACTGCTACAGTTTTTTTTATGCATATAAAGAAAAATCTACCTTTAATGTCTCTTTATTTTATACAGTTTCTTGTAATCGGCACTGCTCTATTTTTAATATTTTGAGACAAGCCAGGTGTGACACAATAAAACTTCTAACCATTTTCAAGAAAAGCATGAAATTCTAGAAAATACATTAATGAACACATTGCTTACAGTGTCATGTTTATTTAACTGATTATTGCTTTGTCTCTTGAGGCCTCCAATGAACCAGTGTTACGAAGGATTGCAGTGGATAAGTGTGCACGACGTGTACGCCAGGCTCTTGCTTCAGTGAGCTGGGACACAAAGCTGGTCCAATGGTTACATGGAACTTTAGTGGAGACACTCAGTCTTCCATTGCTTGCTGCATATTTGGATGCTTTGCAGACTCTTAAAGGAAAGGTAATGCTGTTCATGTTATAAGACGTACTTGCAAATCCGTTTTGCAGACATCAATTCAAGAGTTCAATAACAAGCTCTCTCTGATCCTTCAAAAAAGACACTTTGCAGTGTATGTCCCTGGTTTATATTTGTGCATATTTGATGTTTGATTATGAGAACAGAAAATAAAGAATAAATAGCACCTGGACTAAAATACTATATATTTCATTTATATTTTTCCTTTTTTTATTTGGAAATGCATTTGACAGATGAACATATGAAGAGTATCAGAGCGATGACTTCTTAAATGTAAACTATCCTTTCAGATCCCAGGTCTTATAGACCGAATGTTGCTCACCTCCACCGTCAGAGCAGGAGGAGCAAGTGCAGAAGCCCTTTCCTTGCTCCTCAAGAGGCCATGGGACCCAGCAGTTGGAGTCTTATCACATAACAAACCGGTAAGAAGAGTTCTGCATAGACTTATATAGCAAACTGATCAGTTGATTTGTTTTAGTGGTACATAGTGTGGTCCATTCTATCTCCCTTTATCTAGAACAAGCTTCCTGGCTCACCCCTTATCCTCATTGCTCCCTCTGGACCAACCAGCTCTGTATTCCCTACATCAAGAAGGCACCGATTTTGGCAGTCTCAGCTCTCCTGTTTGGCCAAGGTATGTGACATTCATTTACTATGTATGAAAATAATTATTTTTGGTAATGTTTGTTGGAATATATACTCTCTACAATACTTTGGTATTTTTTAAATATAAATGTCTGAAAATGGTATCTACAGTTAGACATTCTGTTGGGATGCTGGAGAGTATTCTAGCACACCTTGCAATATAGTCAGTTTGGAAAAAAGGAAATAGGCCACAACAAATCATCCTCTTTAGTTTTCACATTGACTATAGACTCCTTATCCCAAGTAGTCATACTTTTTTTTCTATTTTTATTTTTTTTTCTAAATCAGAGTTTTATTTGTTTAAGCAGTTTTTATACATCCGTGAGATTCGCAGATCCCCAGAAAAAAATATATATATATATATATTTTTTGTAATTCAATAACAAGTAAAAAGTCTAGTCAAAAGTTAAACACAGGTGATATACATCGTTATCTGAGCTCGCAGGCGCCCAATGTTGATGGACACACAGGTCCCTTGTGGTGCTCCCTCTATTAAGTGTGTAGAATATGTTACAAGGATCAAGAGGGGATGGGAGGGTTAGTAGTAAGAATGCATATGTGTATTTTCAATTTTCAACTTCATTCCTACATCAATAGACATATTCACAAATACCGGACACTTCGCATGAGTCGTAGTGTGTAATGAGGTCGGTGTTGGAGTTGTCACTACAGACTAGTTCTGTAGGCTTATGCATAGCGCATGTGGCTTCCGGGATTCATCCGATTGGTGTTTTTGTACTGGGTTCGCCGCTAGAGCTGGCTTCGTGTTCCCCAACTGGTTACTTGTGCGCTTAGTGCTACACTTTTTGTGTCCGTTAAAAAAACAAAGCTTGGGCTGTCCGTTCGTGATTATGGTCTGTGTGTCTTGTTGCGTTCCGTAACGTAAGTGTCAGGGCATGTTTTATGTTTAATCCTGCCCAACAGGGGTGCTGTCTGCATCAGGCCCTCATCCCTAGTTTCTCCTCTAGTCTTTATCAGGCGAGTTCGCTTTCGCTTAGTATGTAGAGGTATTCTGATCAGTGCGGCGAGCTAGGTGGGTGCAGTCCCCCGCCTAGCGCACAGTTGAATGTTATCGGGATCAGGGGTCTCGGTTGGGGCGATATATGTTGGTTCCTTCTCATGGTTGTCCACGACTTCAGCGTCTACACGATGGGTGATTCGCTGCCTAGCTTTCATGCGGCGTCGGCTGTGCCCTGCCATATGTACGTGTGGAGGGCCTTGTTCGTGCTTTCCCTATCCAGGGCTGCCCATAGTTTGTTAGCCGGTGCCGCATGCCATTCACGGATCCTCTGGAGCACCGTTGCTTGGTAGTATTTACGGAAGTCTGGCAGTGCTAGGCCTCCCCACGCTTTGGGGAGACATATCTTGTCGTGGTTGAGGCAGTGAGTGCTCCATTAACCCGTACCCTTGCACTGGGATCAGTGTACAACGCCTCGATCCAGGTGATCATTCCCCTTCCCAGGCCAATCCTGTTTAGCGTTGCCATCATGAAGCTCCACGTTACCCGGTCAAATGTTTTTTCTGCGTCCGTGGAAAGCATTATCAGGTCAGTTTTCTCTTTGAGGGCCAGACCTTGTATGGCGAACGCCCTTAAGGTGCTGTCCCTGGCTTCCCGGTCTGGTATGAAACCTGTTTGTCTTTTTTTCTATTCTTAAAGGACCACTTTAGGCACCCAGACCACTTCAGCTTAATGAAGTGGTCTGGGTGCCAGGTCCCTCTAGGATTAACCCTAGGATTAACCCTTTTTTTTTTATAAACATAGCAGTTTCAGAGAAACTGCTATGTTTATAAATGGGTTAATCAAGCCTCTAAAGCCTCTAGTGGCTGTCTCATTGACAGCCGCTAGAGGCGTTTGCGTGCTTCTCACTGTGAAAATCATTAATGCTTTCCTATGAGACTGGCTGAATGCGCCCGCAGCTCCTGCCGCGCATGTGCGTTCAGCCGAAGAGGAGGATCGGAGGAGGAGGAGAGCTCCCTGCCCGGCGCTGGAAAAAAGGTAAGTTTAACCCCTCCTTGCCATCCACTCCGGCGGGAGGGGGTCCCTGAGGGTGGGGGCACCCTCAGGGCACTATAGTGCCAGGAAAACGAGTATGTTTTCCTGGCACTATAGTGGTCCTTTAACTTGTAACATCATCTAAAAAATCGTAAGTAGGCGGTTTTAGGTTGGGGCACTTTTTATTTGTTCTCTATCTCACCCGTGTACCACATGGTTCTCAGTTTGAGTGTGATATTTCACATAAATATGTGTATCCTTATTGTAACCTGCCAATTCTTTCACTATTTTTATCCAAAAGGTCATTCCAGTTGGCACTCAGTTGCTGAATAGTGGCAGTGGGGTGTCTTCATTGCAGTGCCTGGAAAACATGATTAGTGCATTGCGGGGAAAAGTCCTTGAGGTATTTCTTCCACAGAGTTATATTTTAACCGCAAATCATTACGTGGACTTATTCCAGTTTGTGAATTCTTATATTTTCCCTATTTGTTTGCTTCTTCAGATTCACAGTCACTTCCCACACAAACCAGTTATCCTCATTGGGTGGAATACAGGGGCATTGGTTGCCTGCCATGTAAGTGCCTAAACAATTATTGCATATCATATTGAACTATATTAACAAACTTGCTGAGCCTGGCATCAGTATTTAAATAGCAATCAATGTTTGCATACTGAAGGAGATTCATAGAACTAGCCCTAAATGCTTTCATGCAGCTTTCAGCTACCCATCCCTAGGCCAAAAATGGAAAGGTATGTCAGAGTTCTGGGCATACTTCTATATGTCCTGGATTGTTCCTGGTCTAGTCTGCATCAGGACTGTACCTGATCCCGTATTCAATGTGCTTGAGATGCTGGCCAGTGTTTATCTGCATTGTCTGCTTGTCTCCCCCCGTCTGCTCTTCTAAACAAACATATGACATTATAAAGTATATAATACTTTCACCCTGTTGTTTTGATACTAGTTAGTGTGATGAGACACAGCATAAAACATTTATAATTAATGCTATCTCTCTGTTAATATCTGTCAGGTGTCTTTGATGGAATATGTGACTGCAGTTGTCTGCCTTGGATTTCCTTTGCTCACTATGGACGGACCACGAGGAGTGAGTTATATGACAATCTCTTTGCCTAATCTGCTTTAGGTGCCCATTGGGTACCGTGCCTACACATACATTCTTGTCTAGTAAAGTAATAATCTGAAAGCCATAATACATTTTATTAGGCAGTGATAGTAGTTTCCAATTTTCATAATTTAATGGTTCCATAAATGTTGTTTATTTGCTGGTCAATTTGTTTGCCTTTAGTCCTTGCATACATTTGAAAGTGGTTTAATCTGGGACATATTTCAATAATTTGCAAAATAAGTTTCTAATTTAGTAAAATTGTTCTTCATGGGAAGGGTGTTAGAATTCCAATATAAGTGACAGCAGGGGACAATGGTTGAACCTCCTCCATAATACGACAGGAATCACTAATGCTGCCCTAATACTCTTTGCTATTATTATTTTTACCGCATGTGTGAAGACTGTGTTGTCATTTTCGGGGAACCTCCCCCACCCCCATTCCCGACTTTCAAACAGACAACCTGTCCTGTCACTCCCTGGTTTGTTTAGCTCAGTGATGCTAAACTCAAGAGGTAGTCGATTGCCAATAGCACCTGCTTCCTTATAATGATTTCCCATTGAGCTGTCTATATCTAATTTATATTTTTTTTATATTTGGGGGGGGGGGTTGGAGATTTCCTGTAATAGTTTGCCTTGCTGGGGTGTTTGTCTTGTGCAGCTACTATGTATTATAGGATATTTCTGTGCATTGTAGTGTTATTTGAAAGAGTAGATACAGGTCTATTTCTGCCATCTAGTAAGAAATGCTGCTGTTCAATGTAGTTTTCAGATAAGTAATATCAATGACACCTACCGGATTCTCCCCTTTGCATGAGTGATTTAGAGAAGGATTCTGCATTTTGCTAGACATTTTTACAGCAGTTAAGAAGGTGGAGGCCACGGATTTTGGGGGTGATTAACAGTGTCCATCCTGATAAACTTTTGTAGACCCTGGGGTGGTTAAAGGCACACGCCAAGTAGTTAGGTGGAAGGTCGTGTTTGCAGTCACGGCTAGAACATTTTCAGCTCTCCTAGTGTTTTCTTTGGGACGGTGTACCTTAGTGTACATAAGTAAGTAGATTTTCTCATGTCATCTCATCATTTGGAGTAAGGAAAGATGAATGAGAAAACTTCAAGTGAACTGAAGCACCTTTTGGTTTCCACACACTTGTGAAAATGCTTTCAAAGAGATGTATGGTAAAGGCACACAACCCTTCCATTCAAAACAGCACGGAACTTGATTTTCACAGTCGTTTCATAAATTGTCTGTAAGGCATAAAATGTACATTTGTAAATCTACACTGAAGTGTCTCTTTGTTTGTCCACATAAAACTCTTACTAATTGGAGAATGGTTGTAGGACCATTTGAACATAAATAATTACTTGATTTAAGGTTCATTGTTTTTCCTGACTTCAATTTTGTCCTGTTTAGGATGTGGATGATCCTCTACTTGATATGAAGACTCCAGTACTCTTTGTGATTGGCCAGAATTCCCTTTTGTGCCATCCTGAAGCAATGGAAGATTTTCGAGAGAAGCTCAGAGCTGATAACAGTCTTGTTATTGTGGGAGGGGCTGATGATAACTTGCGGTAAGGATGAGTTGAGGTTTACCATGTCTTTTTAATTTCCATGCTACAGCTTTCTGCAACCATTCATGCAAAATGTCTCCGTTGTGTTTCCTGACAGTTCTTTTTTCTGTAAGTAACTGTAAATGTGTTAACAGGTGTATTTTATAGGCGTAGAGGGGTGATGTTTGGGAGGGGGCAAGGATGGGGTTTTTGTGGGAGGAGGCCAAAAATTTTGGTTTGACATCAAGCCCTTAATATTTTTTTTGACCCTTGCTGGACCCCTGATGGAAGGTATTATGAATAGTGAAGAGGGTTTATTTTGGTAATAATACAGCTTTTAAATTATGTCTGTGATCTTTCCTTTATGCAGTATTTATCACAAATATTCATTACATGATGTTCTAAAATCAAGGATTCTTTCTGTAATGCAAGTTTGTTTATATATTTATTGTACATATTCACTGTGTATAATACATTGCAGGGTAAATATGTTTGCTCATTTTGCCTCTTAAAACTCTTAAGTATTACTTGTAATAGCATGGCTACAGGTTGAGGAGAAAAGCTAGCCTAAAAGAATAAATGACTTGCTGAGCATCGTGAATATTTTTCTCTGCAACAGTTGGTATGCCAAAGCATTTACATTGCTTACATTCCCAGATTATGAATTTGACAATCTTAGGGTTTGGTTTTTGTATGTAAAAAGAAATGTATGGAAATGCACACCTGGAGCGTGAAGGAGATTTTTTATTTCTTCTTTTAAAAAACATTTCTGTCTAAAGGGTTATTTCAAGAACATGACCATTTCATTGATTTGAAGTGGTCATTGTGCTTGGAGCCTGTATATGCAGAGAAAATGCTCTATGGTTCCAAAGGTCTACATCCACTTCTGGCAGCTTCATTAGCAAGCAGGAACAAGAATTCATGGCTGGCTAATGTTGATTCTGTGCATAACTGATGTATGTCGTCTGCATGCTTGTGGCAGACTACCAATGGCAGACGTCTCTCCTCCCCCTGTACCACCCAAGCTTTCCCATCAGCCTGTCCATTGGAACATCCCTTCCTCACCAATGAGGAGTAATGATGTCACTAGAGGTGGATATGGTTACTTGGAGAACTCAGGGCCGAGGTAAGTTTTTATTAAAAAAACAACAGTTTTTGGTTGGAGCAGCCAGTTAATCAGGTTTAATTACCTGTTGACCTTTCTGTCATTAGAAATATATATTGCTCTGAACAGGTATATAGTGACAGAATGGTTTGTGTTGAAGTATGGGTAGACATTTGTGGGGGGGTTTTAGAATAGTATAATCAAGAATTATACAGATTATTATAATCAAGGTGGTAAGGCAAAGATAAGTGTACTATTTCTGTTTCACATTCCAGGATAAGCAAAATAAAGAAGAAGACAGAGAGCTTGACACAGAGTATGGTAGACCGATGTATCCAGGTGAGATGTGCAAGCATAGTTCCCTGCATTATGAAATAGTTTTATACTGTACTAGGTTAGCCTTGTGGAACAAATTGTGTCTCTTGGTCTGATGCTGAATTACAATTCCCATTATGCTCACTCAGCCTAGGGCTCCCTGAGTGTTATAGGAATTGTAGCTCATGGAGATATATAGTATTACATTTTACAAAGCCCCTGGTAGCCATGATATATTTAACCCCTTAAGGACTGGACTGTTTTTGCGATGTTGTACATTTGCGACCAGACATATTTTTACACTTTTGTGGTGTTTGTGTTTGGCTGTAATTTTCCGCTCTCTCATTTACTGTTCCCATACAAATTATATATTGTTTTTTTCAGGACAAAAGGCGCTTTCTTTACATACCATTATTTATATAATCTCATGTATTTTAATTTAAAAAAAATAAAAAAATATGATGAAAAATTGAAAAAATACATGTTTTTTGACTTTTACTTGAAAAATCTTTTACTCATCTACAAAAGCGAATGAAAAAAAACTGCTAAATAGATTCAAAATTTTGTCCTGAGTTTAAAAATACCCAGTGTTTACGTGCTTTTTGCTTTTTTTTGCATGTTATAGGGCTATAGGTACAAGTAGGATATTGCGGTTTCAAAACATACATTTTTAAAATTTATCAATAGTGACATTGTAACACTATTATCTGTCATAAATCTCTGAATAACACCCCACATGTACATATTTTTTTTAAAGTAGACAACCCAGGGTATTCAATATGGGGTATGTCCAGTCTTTTTAGTAGCCACTTAGTCGAAAACACTGGCCAAAGTTAGCATTCATATTTGTTTGTGTGTGAAAAAAGTAAAAAAAACTAAATTGAACGCTAATTTTGGCCAGTGTTTGTGACCAAGTGGTTACTAAAAAAGACTGGACAGGGGGGCGGGGCCGGGCCGCCATGCTGACCGGTCGCATGTAGGAGAAGCTCCAGGGGCATTCTGTCAATTTGGCTGAAAAACACAGCTCAAACACCAAACTCAAGTTAAAAAATCTACCTGCAGCTGGTACACGACAGGGGACATCGCAGTGGACTCTGAGATCGGGAGTTTTGGAGCCCGCAGGGGTGATCTAAGGCTTTGGAGTTTGCGGCCTACTCGGAGGAGAAGCGGTGCAGACGGCCGCTGTCCTGCTCTCCCCCTCCCTGCTGATGCCACACACCTTCTCTTTGGTGCGGTGACCGGCCTCGTTTCCCCCCCCCCCCTTTGGGCCGGTGGGGGTCATCCCGGCCTCCACTGGAGAGTCTGAAGCCGCACTACAACACGGGCCTACCCAGCACTCTGCAACAAAATGGCGGCCGACCGTGCCCGAAACTGACACCACACTAAAGCCGGAACGGCGCCCACTTCTAATACACCTACCACGGCTATGCCACAGACAGCGGGAGTCACGTTCTTGGACACTCACGTTACAACTCCTGACAGTCAGAGCTGGCGCCCGACACGCAAACCACAAATCCGTGAGCCGTGCAGAGTATCACCAGCACGAAGATTTAACCCCCTCAGCGATCCCGAGGTCGAATCTGCACCAGCACCGACAAGCGCAGGATCCGGCCCCAAGGCACAGTGCCAGAAATTAGCAGTCAGAGGACAAGGCGCACTCCTGCCCCTTAGGATTACAGCCTCCAACCGGGTCGCAACACAAGAGCACACCATACAGCTTATGGACGAAGCTAGATTCCACTGCAGAGACATCATTAAAGGGGACCCTAACACCAACCTCTGGGACACTCCGGCGCAAGGCATAGGCTGAAGCGCCCACCATACTGCCTCCCAAGGGTATTGCCGTCTTTAGCCTGGCATGTTCAGAGCCCCCACAACAGCTAAGTACCCAGACACAGAGGCCTGATGCACCCCCCAAGTAGACTATGCTTCGGTTTTAACTCTTACCCTTAGCGGTGATGGGACTGTTAACCATGCTGAAACCAACTCCCAGTGGCTTAAAGTCTAGTTCACTGTTGACCTAACATTTTGTACTTTTCCTTATGTTTAGATAGTTTAAGCGATGTTACCTGATGCTATAGGTACGACTTAGCGATATTTACCAACTCTTTAACGCCTTATAGCCTATGTTTGTTGAGCGTGACTTACCTATGCATTACACAGAGCCCAGCTATTGTTATACGGTGTAATAGATTGTATTATCACTACACTAGAATAGCCAACCTAGCAATGCTAAAAACCATTCATTTAAGGCTACTCTGACAATATGAACGCTTAGTAGAGCTTGTTATTTACATTACAAAAAAAAAAGTGCGAACTTCTATGCCACAGTCTAACATATGTAACTCTTGAAACACGCTGTTGTGGCGTACGTTGACAACCTGTAATAACCTGCACAACATAAATAAAGAATTTAAAAAAAAAAGACTGGACATACCCCATTTGCAATACCTTGGGTTGTCTTCTTTTGCAAATGGTATGCCATCATGGGGGTAATTCTCATTCCTGGGCTACCTTACGCTCTCAAAGGCAACGTAACCAACCTGGCCATTTTCAATGTAAAAATATTTGACCCATATATTTGACCTTGTAACTTTCAAAAATGCTATAAAACCTGTACATGGGGGGTACTGTTTTACTCGGGAGACATCGCTGAACACAAATATTAGTGTTTAAAAACTGGAAAACGTATCACAACAATTATATCATCAGTAAAAAAGCTGTTTGTGTGTGAAAAATGCAAAAAAAGTAACTTTCACTGACAATATCATCGCTGTGATATGTTTTACTGTTTTGAATCACTAATATTTGTGTTCAGCGAAGTCTCCCGAGTAAAACAGTACCCCCCATGTACAGGTTTTAGGGTGTCGTAGAACGTTACAGGGTAAAATACAGTGCTAGCAAATTCAATTCTCTGGAATTTCGGCCTGGGTTGGCAGGCAGGTCCCTCAAATTGCAATCAATAAAATTACCGAATTATGTAAAAATATTACATAAATACGCACGAATTTAAATATATATGCATATTTATATATTTGAAGTCTACATGTATATTTATATATAATTATTTAAGTGTAATTTTGTATATGGACGTATGTATATTTCTTATTATTTTTATTTATTTTTATATACAGATATATATACAAATTCATTCTATGTATTTTGATATAAATATATATATATTAATTTTAAAATACAGTTAGAATAAAATTTCATATAGCTATAATTTTTTTTTTTTTTTTATTATTATTTAAAAAAAATGTATTTCATTTAAATTACTTATTTATATTTTATAATAATATATATATACAATATATATAGTTATTATATATATTATATATATACGTGTGTAATTTAATTATAAGTGTATTTTTATATTAATATAAGTACATATTAATAGAAAAATACACTTAGTATGACATTATATATATGATATATAGACATATATTATATAAATATAATATATGTCTATATATCATATATACACATATATAATTATTTTATTTTTTTTAATTAACACTAACTTTATTTATTTTTTCTGATTTTACACTAGCAGGGAGACTGCCTGTCAGCACAGACAGTCCCCCTGCAGGCAGACACATGGACACCTATTGTGACCATGTGATCGCTGTGTTAAGCGATCACATGGCCACAGGGGTCCTAATCTGCCGTGGGGAGACTGTCTGGGCTGCAGGCAGTCTCCCCACAACCGAAGCCACGCTGATCGCCGCCGGGGGAACGACGGCGATCAGGTAAGTAGCTCTGACCGTTAGGACGGTTCAGGACCGTCATCGGTCGGCAACGCAAAAATGCCGATGACGGTCCTGAACCGTCCTCGGTCCTTAAGGGGTTAATATAGTTTTAATGACTATGACAAAGTCATAAAAAAGCTCTACTGCATTATAATTCACACAACCTGGAAATAAGGATCCTCTTTCATTACAATGTGCTGCAGTTAGAGCTTTATTAACCAAATCAATAATTGCAAGGGAATTGCAGGTTATTATTTTATTATTTCACAATTCCATTCTCATGTCTCCTCATTTTTTGGTTTAGCAAATGTAACCCATGTGTGGAGGAATTGTATTTCCCACTGTGGATTCTGACTGGTAAATGATTGAATGATTAAAGTATTTATCATACAAGACAATTCTAAATGTTAATAAAATTTGAATTCTCAGACACTAAAGCTATATAAGTGGTCATTCATGAGTAAATTTGATTTGTAAGCCATAGATGAATGGAGAATATTGCAGTCCTAATTACTGAAGGAGTGGGAAATGTATTTTCCTCTGTTTTCCATAAGAGCTAAAGGTGACTTGTAACTGCAGGTATATTCCTGTTATAATGTTTGCGGTTTTAATTATTGCTTTTGCATTTATCATCTTTGCTTTTCCATTAACATTACAAGAATTTGATTTTAGGATGAGATTGCTGATTTTTTGACTGGGGTCTTGACCCGATCTGAAGGTCACACTGGCTCGGACCCCAGAGACCTTGATGCTGAAAAAAAGAAAAAGTCCCGTGAATTCTTACGGAGAGACCTTTCTCTGGACTTGTCAGAGAGGAACAGCAGACCTGCATCCCCAGCAGCAAGATTCCCTGCTTCCCCTTCTGGATCTGAGGTGAGGAGAGAGCAGATAATAAAGGTCAATCTCTGAAAAAAACATTGCTGATGTAAACAATCCTCTTACTCCATCTTTATTTAAAAATTTTTTTTAAATAGTTCTGTTGACTTGACTATGCAGTTTGTTCTACTCAGCATGGTGGATATGGTTTGAATCACCATATGTCTAAATATAGTGGGGGGGGGAAAGAGAACAAATTGTCCATTTGGATGCAATGACCGATCCTAATAGATATTTTTACAGTCTGGCATAATAAAAAATCCCATGATTCCTTGCCTGCAGTCTGTGATCATGAGAATGAAATATGGTAGTGCTATAAAAATTAGTCGTATCACTGTGATTTGGGGGAAGGCTTAACCCTGTTATAAACATAACCGTTTCTCTGAAACTGCTATGTTTATAAAAAAAATGGGTTTACCCTAGCTGGACCTGGCACCCAGACCATTTCATTAAGCTGAAGTGGTCTGTGTACCTAGAGTGGTCCTTTAACACTTTTTGAAAGGATTTTCATAAACCTCTCTCCACCACAACATCTTTTACCTAGGATTTACATAGCTCTTGGCACTGATACAGCCATTTCTCCCCGGTTATGTTAGCCAAACTTTGGTCTCAGTCCACACCGCTCATGGTACAGTGTGAAGTGATCCGCTGGGTCGTGGTTCAAACGTGATGTCGTTCCTGGGGTTGCATGCCACCATATATGGGCTCCTCTTTGGCGTAGCCATTGAGTTAGGCAGTCCCAGGGTGGCAAGGAGGGGAGATGCTCCCTCGACAAAGTTTACAACATGGGTAGTT